GGCTCCATCCCCGCCTCTTCGACCTGTTTGTTTCCTCTCCACCTATCTTCTCCTCTATCCATCTTCTATCCGCCTCCCACTCTCTCCCTATTTATTTCAGAACCCCCTTCCCCTCCCCCTTTTCTGATGAAGGGTCTAGGCCCGAAACGTCAGCCTTCCTGCCCCTATGATGCTGCTTGGCCTGCTGTGTTCATCCAGCCCTGCACCTTGTTGTCTCGGATACCATGATGTCCTCAGTCACTTTGTTTGCCTTTAAGAATGAATGAAAGCGTTCTATGTATAATGTGCAATTTTCTGACTCCTCATCAAACAGTCCCATCAGTCCAAATTGGCTTGCCGTTTGTTTTCCTGCCGGTAGGAGTTTTTCCTGTCACTCGGGTCTAAAGCTGTTTGCGGCCTGAGACCGCTTGGTGAAAGCTGACCACGTTGGCCTCTCCCACAGTGGTTGTCTTAGCGTACCATTCCACCCTGGTATTGCAGGGTGAGTCCCCTCGCAACTGCTCACTGTTTGGACTTCAGTAGCTTCTGGGTGCATAGTCTCTTCTTCCATTGTTAGTCCAAGTCTCCTTACAACTGCTGCTTTCAGTCCACTCCCCACTGCATAGCTTCTTTCCTGGTGTTGACAGCGGCCTGAGTCCCCTTGTAACCGCTTCCCTCGACGTTATCTCCTTAATCCTACATCACTTCCGAAGTCCAGGTAATGCCTCCTCCGGACAAAAAAAAAAGGCATTTGTGCAGATCCCACCCTTTTCACCAGTTATTATGTTGTTGCGGGTGAATAAAGAAGGGAGAGGGGCCACTTCATCCCTTCTCACTCTGGATCTGAACAATTTGAGATGCTCACCCAGGGTCTGGGGTAACAACTGTAGAGACGATCACTATTTTCGTTTTGTTTTCACATTTTTAAGTTTAGAACTGAGTTGAAATTAAGAATTGAAGTTTGAACAGTAACTTGTCTTAAAAGAGAACTACGATAAATGTTTATTGTTGGAAATTGGCCTGGGAAATAATTACTGCTCAAAGGACATTGTCAATGAATTGGCAGCAAGTGTTGCTATGCTAAGGTCTGGCTGCTGGTTGGATGTTGAATTGGTCAAATTAAGGAGGGACCAGTGCTAACCAACCAAGGAACCATGTATGTTGAGCATGTTGATTAAAAAGAGAGAGCCAATTTTGACTGGGTTATTTTTGACAGGAAGCAGTGCGACTTTTGAAAGCTTCTGAAGACTATCTGTCCAGTTTTTGTCCAGTTATCAAATTGTTGAATTTCTGAGAAAAGAATCCCAGTCTGTAAGAAATTAGTAAATATTTCTACAAGTTGCTGAAGCTGTTTACATTAACTGGTGACTTCAGAATTCAAGCAAGATATATAATTCTACTTGCCTGTGAATAATCTATTGTCCAAAGATTTCAAGAAGGTCTGGTATCCATCATTTGAAACTGTTCATTGAATTGATAAATTAGAATTCTTTTATTTTCTTTCTTATTTACTTTTTAACTGTGTGTGTCTGTCTGTTTGTGTGTGGGGGTTCTGATCAAAGCAGATTGAGTTATACATCACCAGTATTAATTAAATTATGTTGTTGTTTATCTGTGTTTTGCTAACTTTACATTCTTAATAATAAATTGTTAATTTTCAGTTAACATGTCCAAGATCTGTTATTTGTAATGTCTGGTTAGGAACAATTGGGCAATTTTGAGTGCTACTGAATGTTTTAATTTCTCTGTACTGCAAATCTAGTATTAATCTGGCTGATTTGGTTTGGTTTTGTTGTCTGTGTCCTACAACATTGTTTCATACATAGCTGGAGTGAAAAGAGGGATGTTAGAATGGCTTTAGAATTTAAAAGCTTTTATCCGTTTGACCTGCAAACCAATGCCCTTATGAACTCTCTGTTACTTGGTTCTTATGTGTGTAATTATTACTGGTTATAGTTATCATTATATATTTAATTATGAACAATAATTTTATAAATTTAACTCCTTTGAAAACTTTTGGAATCTATTATCTGAATTAATAATTATAAATGTGCAAGAAGAAGCTTCCATTTCTTAATACTACATTTGTGTCTGCAGTATTTTGTGGAGCACATATATATGACGGCGCTTTCTACATTACAATGATCACAGCGTTTAAGTACATCTTTGGCTGCAAAACACTTTTGAATATTTCTTACTTTCTCTTTCTCCTCTCTCTTTCTTTCTTTCTTTCGTTATTTCATTCTGTCTTTTGTTCTGTCTTTCTTTCTTGAAGCTAGATGGTGCATTTGTCTCCTGTGAGCTGCTGTAAATGCTTCTTTTGTGATTGAGAAAGAGCTCGTTGACTGTTAGAGAGCCCCCTCTAGTGCAAGGTTGATGTTGGTAGTGATACACATGGCTTACTAATTTTGCTTGAAGCTCCTTCTTCAAATGTTAACAGTAACCACCATCCCAAATTACTTGATAGATCTGTAATGCCAACAGTCACGGCTCCACAGGGAAGTGCGTTGTTGCTCGTTTAAATAGTGTTTTCATGCAACTTCGTTTGTGGGTGTTGTGGTGGTTACTGTTGAAATTCAGTACTTGGTCAGTGTGTGTGGCTTTTCTGTGTACCTTTGTCAGGAATTACCCATTGGCCCTGCGTTCTACCATGAAGTCCAGGAATGGGAGCTGTTTGTTCTTTTCCTTTACCCTGGTGAAGTTGATGCCGGTGAGAGTGTTGTTTATTAGTTGGTGTGTCTCCTCTAGTTTGGTCGGTTTGATGATGATGAAAGTGTCGTCCACGTATCGGACCCATAGTTTGGGTTAGATTTGCAGAAAGGTCGTGCTTTCGAGTCTCTGCATCACCACTTCTGCTATTAGTCTGGAGATAGGTGACCCCATGGGTGTCCTGTTGATCTGTTCATGGATTTGGCCATTAAAGGTAAAGTGGGTCGTGATGCATAGGTCCAGTAATTTCAGCTTTTTGTCTGGAGATGGTGTCACTTTAGTCTACTGCATTTGCTGTTCACAATGTGTTCTCTTCTATATTGGGGAAACAAAGCATAAACAGGATGACTGCTTTGCAGAGCACCTACATTCTGTCCACAAAAAAGACCCTGAGTTTCCTTTTGCTTGCCACTTCAACACAGCACTTTGTTCCCTCGCCAACATCTGTCTCAGGCCAGCTGCAGTTCTCCAGTGAAGCTTAGAGCAAAATGGAAAACAGCACTTCATTTTCTGCTTGGGAACTCTACAGCCTTCTGGTTTCAGTATCGAGTTCAATAATTTTAGGGCTTGAGCACCTTCCTGACCCCCAAACACCAGGCTTTGTTGTCACATGGTCTGCTATTATACACAACCCATTGTTAGCCCCTAAAAGACCCCATTAGGAGCTATTCATTCTCCTCGGCCAACTCATTTGTCTGTCTGATTGTTTGTTTGTTTTTCTCTCTCTTTAGCCTCTATCTCCTGCTATCATTCACTCTTTATCCCTTACCCCCTCCCTCCACCCTATCATCTGCATAAAAACCAACTTTTTCCTAGCTACCATCAATTCTAAAGAAGGGTCACTGGACCCAATACATCAACTCTGACTTCTCTCCACAGATGCTGCCAGACCTGCTGAGCTTTTCTAACAATTTCTGTGTTTGTGTAAGTTACTAATGTAACGACTAAACAAATGCATCAATTCCAGAATAACTCCATAGCAACTTTGCAACTTAGGGAATTATATAGACTGTCGAAAAATGGCTAAACAGCATCAATGTGAGTTAGATTTTAATTAGAAAGAGAATGTGGCTTTAATCTGCAAAATTGACAATGTGTCAGGAAGCTGGCTGTAATTTATTGGATTCACTACAGTGTTCTAAGTTGCTTTTGAGCAGCTGCCTTGGGAGAGTTTGAGAAATTTAAGAACAAGAAAATCAACATTAAAGGTCTCAATAATCGCACAGAGGCAGCTTTTTTTTATAGGGTCCCTACAGTGTGGAAACAGGCCATTCAGCCCAACAAATCCACACTGCCCCTCCAAAGAGCATCCCACCCAGACCCATTCCCCTAGCCCTGCATTTCCCATGTCTAACCCACCTAACTTAAGTATCCATAGACACTGTGGGCAATTTAGCAATCCACCTATCCTGCACGTCTTTGGACTGTGACAGGAAACCCATACAGACGCAGGGAGATTGTGTAAACTCT